AGGAATGGAATTGTGAAGAATGATCTTTAACCATATAGGAAGAGATACAGAGCGCAGGCCAGCTATTTGGCAGCAGTAGATCAGTGCAGTTGAGCAAAGCAAGCTCAGCTGAGGTACTTGGCTTGCTTGATGAGCTGCTCTGCACCAGAACCCTATGGCAGCCTGTGTCTCTCTGGGAGCAGCACACAGCTCCAAGGCAGCCCTAACTCATGTTCATTGGCACTGCTGGCCTTCAGCATAGGGTGATCACACTTTGTGACTGGGAAAGGAGGGCTTCCCCACCATCCCTACACCCAGCAGAAGTCAGGCTTCAGGAATCTGGTAAGCTGCACCCTTCCCCTTGATTTCCATCATTTTGACAGCAAGTTTGTCTTGAAGGTTCAAATGCCGATTTAAAATAAAAAAAAGAAAAGGAGGAAAATAATAGTCCAAGAGCTGAACGAGGAAAACACTGTCTGGTACTTCATTCCAACCAAAGAGCTCTTTAATAGCAAACTATTAGACAAATCCCAGGCCTGGGGGTCTGTTACAGAGGTTTTGGATTCCTACCAGAATGTTTTGTTTCCAAACCTAAGTTGCCTGAGTGCAGCCGAAAAGAAGAATCATTCCATGCAGGCAGAAGGCTCTCCAGCATCATGGAACTCTATTTCTGCTGGGGAGTGTGATCCTTTGTTGTCAAAGGATCTGACTGCTACGTATCATTTACTAATAAACGATAGAGAAAGAGGTCTGAAGCCTTTGAAATGCAGATTGTCAGCTCTGTAAGAAGATCCGAACTGAAATGATAAACTCCAGAAGTCGGAACGGTGTTTGCCTGCTTTTATTTCCTCTCTCTCTTTTAAATAGGTGGAAGACAAATGAAGCTGACCCCAGCCCCCAGTCCAAAAAAGAAGCTCTATTATTCCCAGAAAAATAATTTCAAAGGGCAAGTCAATAATAGCAGGATACACACAAAATAAAACCTTTGGAATCCTGTTATTATTATTATTACTATTGTAGCTTCGGATGACTCAAGTGTTATTATTCTCTGCTCGCATTACCAGCCAAGAAAACCAATGACAACCGCATAAAGCTCTGCAAATCTCAGCAGTTTTGGTTCCCACTTACATTGCTGGAACAGCTGTTGCTCTCACAGAGTTGAGCAGGTCAGCCCTGCGTGCAGACCGGACCACACGGTGCTTTCTCACCATAAAGCCTGAGCGTGATTTACGAACGGGACTCATGAGCTCCTACCCTGCAAAGCAGAGCTAAGCCTACAGAATTGTATCATAGAATTACAGAATCATAGAATGGCCTGGGTTGAAAAGGACCACAGTGATCATCTAATTTCAACCCCCCTGCTGTGTGCAGGGTCGCCAACCAGCAGACCAGGCTGCCCAGAGCCACATCCAGCCTGGTCCTGAATGCCTGCAGGGATGGGGCATCCAAAGCCTCCTTGGGCATTGACTTGCTATGGTGTCGGAAGGGCTCAGCTGTGTGCTAGCACTTTATGGCACATATAGCACGTAGCACTGGTTCTCGTGAAGAGAAAAGACTCGTTTTGGTGGTGGCTCCACCAGCTGCTCTCTCTAAGCCGTTGCTTTTCATCAGAACAAAGCAAGCGATGGACAGCCAGCTAAAACCACCGAGTCTTGCCCATCTATGAGTCAGGATCATTCACCAGCCTTCCCAACACCCTGACCATGGGGCAGCAGCATCAAAGCTTGGGAGCACCTCTCCCCAGACATGAACAAACCTGTGCTGACCGCAGGTGATTGCCTTGCCTGGGTCGGCTTGTGGGGAAGGAGCTGTGCAGCTTGTGCAGCTCTCATGCCCCATCCCAGCCCATGAGCAACACTAAGAGCTGCTCGCATGAGAAAGCAGTTGTCTCAGTGTCTGTCATCAGGCTAAACAAAGCGACTAGCAGCATTGCACAGCAGCTGCAAGGAGTTAAACTACATGGAAAAAAAATGCAGTATTCCCATGAAACAGCAGAGGCTGATCCTCCACTAAGCCAGCTCCTGCACTCCCCTAGCAGGAGTGCATAAAGCTCTTCCTTGTGCCTGGGAGGAAGCTCTCAGTGCATTTTGGACTGTGTGAGCACAGGTGTGAGTGCCTACACAAAGTGCAGGCTTACTGCAACCCACTGGAGACCATCGTATGGAGAGAAGGAATTTACATTAACAATTACAATACGATTTTGCGTTTGCTTCCTGCACAATTTGACTGCAAACACTGCTACATTCCTCTGTGCTGAAGCTGAGGCAGCCTGATTTGATTACAAACAGGGCTATAAAAACCACATAAAGATGGTCAGGTGTCCCCAGAAAGCACCACGTATCCATTTGCTCCTCAGTGTTTCTGTTGCTCCATGGAAAATTAAAATAATTCTGTCCTTTCCCACTTTCTTCCATGCAAGCACCTTTGATTTCCTTCATTGTCACCAGTAAGTATGAGAACAGTTCAAAACAGGTGATATGTTTGTTATTGCACCTCCTTTGCTGATTGAGTGGGTACTTCTGGAACAGGAGGCCATCAGACAACAAACCCTATGTGAGCCCCTATCTCTGGATAGGAATCACTTGATTTAACCTCTCCAAACAGACTGGATGGCTGAAAATGAAAAATCAAGGCAAAGTGCCATTTGTGATGCTGAGGATGCTGAGCACACCAGGCAGATGGATGTCCTCTGATTCAAGGACTTCACAGCTCATCTGTCACCATCCACGGGGGTATTCCAGAACTGTGGAGATGTGGCACCTGGGGCCGTGGTCAGTGGACATGGTGGGATGGCTGGGGTCAGACCTGGTGATCTGAAGTTTTTTCTGACCTTAATGATTCTCTGATTCTTCCATTGGACTTGGACAAGCAGCTCAAAAACCCCATTCAAAGACCCAATAAAACAGCTCCAGCAGGCGTGGGGGAGTGAATTCACTGTTACCTGGTCCAGATGGGGCTGCTCTGGAGAAAGAAAGAAGAAAGCACAGGAGGGTTTCTGTGTGTACTGGGTAATGGAGCACAGCAAAAGTACTGTAGCTGTGCAGATGTTTTCCAAGGATTCGTTTGCAAGACATATTCCATCAAATTCCCATATTATCCAGCCAGAGAGAAAGGACATTTATGTATGCAGCCATTCTGGCAGGAGCTATTTGCTTTGGGGCCAGAGGTAATTCAAAGTTATTCTGAATATTACACTGCAGCAGCCTGGCCAAGCCCAGTAATGCTGATTATTAGGGCTTTCCTGGCTTTCCAGATGGAGCTGATTTCATTTAGTTCTCTCTCCTGTAATTAATAACTACATATAACTACAACAACTTTTGAATCTTTGTTTTATCTCCAGCATTTTGCAGAGTAGTTTCCAATTTGGTGCACAGAGCAGAGCTCGTTCAGCCATAACATGGTGCAGTGCAGATCTCTGCTGCACCATCTCACATTCACTTCCCACCAAGCTGGCATTTTTGTCATTTATATTTTCTACACTGCAAACTCCATTTAGGAGTTCTGAGCCATTTAGGCTCAGATCAAGAAAAAGAAGAGATGGGATTTCATTCCCCACCCCCAGTTTGTAGTGATATCAGACTTCAGTATCCAGAGGGTTTCTTTAAAGAAAGCGTTCATGAGATCAGCTCCTTGTCTTGGGAGTGTGCTTGTAAATGGGATAGCATGTGTTAATAAATGGTGGGTTTGTGGTCTGGGAGTCTGAGACAGGCGTGTGTAAGATGTGCTGTAGGTAGCCAAGTGCTGCCTGCTTGCAGACAGGCTCCCATGCAACCACGCTGCTCACCAGGCTGTGGCTGCTGAGCGTGGGGAACCCAGGTGTGGCATTTCTGGTCTTGCACTGCCGCTCCTGGGCCATTCCGTGCGCTTCCCTCCCTTCCCTTCCCTTCCCTTCCCTTCCCTTCCCCTCCATCTGGGATTCCAGTTAGGGTTTATTTTGAGCCCTTTGTTCCTTCATCCTTCATACTGTACTGTGACATTGAATGTGCTTTAAATGAATGAAACTCTTCCTTTAAAGCTACTCACAGCTCAATGCCTGCATTTCTTTGGGACTACATTTGTGCTTATTTTTAACAGATTACTGTCCAGAAGGTCACAGCAGACAGCAGTGTACATGGCTGAATATTAACTTTTAATAGAGTGCACTGAATTCAGGAGCAGATCAGAGTCTTCGTGAAGCAAAAGCAATGCTAATCCTGGAAGAACTCTTAAAATCTTTCATAAGCTGCATTTAATTAAAAGAAAATGAACTACGCAAGAGTTGATGCATGAATTGTACATTTGTGCATCCCACTCAATGAATGAATAATTTCCCTGCCTTCTTTCCTGACCCAGAAATGCTTTGCAATCCATTAAGGATGCTTAAATATTGTTACAACTCCAGCAGACCACGTATCACCAGGAGCTACCCAGGGCATGGCCATTGCAGCCCACAGGGCTTCAGAGTCAGCAAAAGGGCTTTTGAGTCATAGGATCTCCGTAGAATCACAGCATGGTTTGGTTGGAAGGGACTTTAAAGGTCATCCAGTTCCATCCCCCTGCCATGGGCTGGCTGCTCCCCACCAGCTCAGGCTTCCCAGGGCTCCAACCCGGCCCTGAGCACCTCCAGGGATGGGGCACCTACAGCTCTCTGGGCAGCAGTGCCAGTGCATCCCTACCTGCAATGAGAAGAATTCCTTCCTAATGCCCATCTCAGGCTGGGAGGGCTGTTGGGAGCTTTCCCAGGTCTTTTTCTCACCACCAGCTACGGGAGAAGATGTGTCCCATCACTCCCTATGAATCATTGCACCATAGAAAAGCAAAATCACAGCACATAACCTTAGAAACACTGAGCACATCCATTCCCTCCTGAACTCATGCAATCAACGGAAATAAATTTACTTAGAGCCAAAATTTGATGTTGAACAGTTTATTCCACGGGTCAGTGAGTTGAAGGAGTGACGCCCAGCCCAGCAGCCCAGCAGCCCAGCAGCCCAGCAGCCCAGCAGCCCA